TCACAGGACAGACTGCCCTGTCTCAAGGAAAGGAGCTTTGACTGCACTCTGGTTACACTACTGAGAGCAAGAACCTCACAGGAGTATTTCTATGATCCATCTTTGCTTGAGAACCAGTCCTTACAGTGCGAGTCTAAGTTTTGAAACCGACCTCATGTTTGGCAGTGCCCAAGAACAGAAACGTAATAACAGGTGGACAGATGCAAAGTCACTATCAGCTTCAGCTCAATAACAGGGTTGGATTAGATTTGTTTCAGAATGTTTATTTTACAAGGCATTTCTCCATACAGACAAGTCATAAGCATCTTAATCAAGATTTGAGCTTAGACAGTGCAGTGAGACTCAGGTTCAAGCACTCAATTTCCTCACAAAGTTCAGTGCTTGTTATTAAAAGGTAAGGACTCAGGATAGATGGACGCAAATAAGGAGAGCATGAATGGATATAATGCTTTGTGTTATTCATACTCAAACTTTAGACCTCCACAGCCTTCTGAAATAAACCTTTTGCTGGCAGAGAGCTAAAACTGTAGATCTTTTCATCCCCACTAAAGCCAGGACCCCAGCCAAATAAAAGCACAAAGATCAGGAAAATCTGTGCTGACAGCAGCATGTAGCCTGCCAATGTGACTGATGCATGTGGCTGTAGAAGCCACTGCTGCAACTCTGTAAAAACTAAGCCCTGAAAATATCCAGCATAATCACATCAAGCACTATCTACAAGCCCCAAGCAGAACTTTCACTTACATCTGAAAATCTTTCAGCCTGTCCAAACATTTGTTTTATTTGAATTAAGCTTCATTTACAAAACCAGATCTAACATTTCCTCAGATAAATAAAACCAGAAGTATTTATCTGCAGTCCTGACAGCCTATGCACTAATATCCAACAACATAAATAAAAAATAGCAATAGCACAGTAGAATCGCTGACTGAAAATATCCTTAAATAAGCAAGCTTCAAATTCTGTATACCATATAGTTTTAATAATACTTTTTTTTCTCCTTGAAAGACTTCACAATGTTACTTAAAATCTTCAAGTTCCCTTCATAATAGGCTCTGCATTCTACCATAGAATCATAGAATAGTTAGGGTTGGAAAGGACCTCAACATCATCTAGTTCCAGCTCCCCTGCCATGGGCAGGGGCACCTCCCAAGGCTCTGTCCGACACCTTGAACACTGCCAGGGATGGAGCATTCACGACCTCCCTGGGCAACCCATTCCAGTGCCTCAGCACCCTTACAGGAAAGAATTTCCTCCTTATATCCAATCTAAACTTCCCCTGTTTAAGTTTTAACCCATTACCCCTTGTCCTGTCACTACAGTCCCTAATGAAGAGTCCCTCCCCAGCATCCTTGTAGGCCTCCTTCAGATACTGGAAGGCTGCTATGAGGTCTCCATGCAGCCTTCTCTTCTCCAGGCTGAACAGCCCCAACTTTCTCAGCCTATCTTCATACAGGAGGTGCTCCAGTCCCCTGATCATCCTCGTGGCCTCCTCTGGACTTGTTCCAACAGTTCCTAAGCATTAGAAGACCACTCACAGTGTCCTGTCCATTCAAAACAAGGATTTCTAGGGGCCTTCAGTTAAATTACTTTAAAATTAGTTACTGTTTGCATTCCCAGAGATAATTGAACAAATATGTCTTAGGAATGAGGATGTAACCACTTTAGTCCTTCCATTCTGCTTTGTTCTTGCTCTGAAACTATACAGCCTGTTCACCACACTGTTAGGATAAGTGACTGAACAGGAGGAGAAAAAGAAATGCAGTAATTGTAGGACTGGACCATACACTCTTTTTGGAAGTGAAAGTGTGGAGAAGGATTCAGAAACAAGCTGCCTGCTTTCACTCTCCCCAGAACAGTACCTTTGCCAATCACTACTGGCACACTGGAGACCTGAACTGTTTCCCAGGGCACCCAGCTCCTGCAATTAGTATGCAGATCACCACTCCAACAACTCAGACAGCAATTTTCTCTCTGCAGACTGGTCTGTGAAGTCGATTTCAGCACATCTGCAGTAGTGTCTATCTGCTACATTAGTTCTGACCTCATTTTTCCTCAAGACAGCGTTTACATCAAGAACCACTAAAAATTCTCTAACATCAAATGCATGCAATACAAGTTCATGCAAAACTAGACAGCCAGATGTCTAAATCTGCTGGTTAAGAGTTTCTTCTCACAAAGGAAAAATCATCATGGAAACAAGGAATAAAAGTATTTATAAGTCAGGATGTTCACTATGTTCACATAGTAAAAGGTTCATTTAGAACTCTCACTGCCCTTAAAATAGGTATGTGAGTGGAAGAGGGCAATTCAGTAGGATTGTCAAAATTTGATAGGCCAGACACAAAAACTTCAGATTATGTAATTTAATAGGTTTCTTAAGTGCAACGCAGTCAACAGAGGTCATCTGAAATCAAATCCTACCTTCTGTGTTGAACTTAGTCTGATGAACAAGAAGTCTGTTCTAGCTTTGCCTTTGCCTGTTGTAGCTGTGGTTTCTTTAAAACTTACCCATCAGAGATATACCAGCATCTGTTTCTAGAGACTTAACTCCCACTTAGTCAGGGCTTAATAGGTTGCACCTGCACTAATGGGTCAGGAAGGCATCCGCTTGGCATCTCTCAGGAGATTCTTGTTCCTGGGAGGAATTCTCACTGTGATACAATAACAAACAAGTCTTGATTGCTGATCTTCCTTGTAGAAAAAGCTCTTTACAGACAGTAAAAATTAAAGAAGACATTTTCTGGTGAGCTCAGGTTTTAGAAATTCCAAAGAGCTACCCAAGTTCTTAACACTGATTGTTTTCTTAAAAAGCTGCTCTGTATTAGCGAGCTTTGGTTCAATGAAATGAGAGTGAAATTGTCCAAATGTTACAACACATTTATTCAGTATTACTGCAGTTCCTCTGCTGGGAACTGGGTTTCAGATAAGGAGTTAAACCAGTAGCTTTTGAACTGGGGTACATATACCACAGCCTACAGCCACTACAAAATGGTGTGTGCCTCAACAAAGAGCAAGAAGCTGCTATTGCAAATGACAGTGCTCTCAGGATGACTAAATGCTGCTGATACTTTGTACCATCAACTACTAATGATGATGGTAGGAAGTTTAAGAAAAAAACCCTGTGGATTATAATCTTTCCTAAAGCACAGAAGAGGTGATCAGTGAATTCCATGATATGGAGCAAGGCTTATTATTTTCTAGTTATCTTCCTGTGGACAAAGTTGTGGCAAAATGTGCTAATTCTACCAAAGAGTGGCAGTGGTGTAACATTCAGCATAAGTTTAGTGGGCAAGACTGTGACAGAAGGGCCAAAGCTCCAAATACAGAGCAGTATTAGAGGGCACTGACCAATAATGTAACATTTCTGCAACTAAATCAAACTTCTCTGCATGCTCTTTTGTGTGCTGTCACTCTTACTTCTTAGGAGAAGCTTACTGTTTTCTCTTGTACCATGCTGCAGGCATGGAGACCCTTTTCACTTAAGAGTGGCTTCTTTTCTCATGAACATACTACAAAACATAAATTACTCAGAGCTTAACAAAACTGTATTTGGTGGGAGAATAATTATAAAGTCATCGTTGCAAAAGATCATATGTGAAAACCACAAAACTTTCAGCAGAGAAAATTTAGTGTTACTGTAAAGCTTCAGTATCCTAATCTGGTCTCAAGATCTACTCACTCTAGACAAGAACAAATGGCTCTTGCCAGCCCATTCCAGTGATTAATATTGTAGATCATAGAATCACAGAATGGTTGGGTTGGAAAGGACCTTAAGAGCATCCAGTTCCAACCCTGTGCCATGGGCAGGGACACCTCACAATAGACTATGTCACCCAAGGCTCTGTCCAGCCTGGCCTTGAACACTGCCAGGGATGGGGCATTCACAACTTCCTTGGGCAACCTGTGCACCACCTCACTGTCCTCACAGTAAAGAACTTCTGCCTTAATTCTAATCTGAACTTCCTCTGTTTCAGTCTAAACCATCACCCCTTGTCCTGTCGCTACAGCCCCTGATGAAGAGTCCCACTCTGGCATCTCTGTAGGCCCCCCCTCAGATATTGGAAAGCTGCTATGAGATCACTGTTTTCCTTAATTTCACTTTAAAATCTAATAGTACAGGTCCAGCTCTCTACAAAACAGAGAAGATAAAATTCATCAGGGCTATGAACTGCTCAAATGACACTGTGATGAAAATTACATTAAATGACAGAATTATTATAAATACGGTGTACCTGTTAGCATTACCTTTAAAACAGCAAATGCAATACCCTCAATTTTTTCTTGCTCTTAGCTTTCTCAAAAGATTTGCATCTGCTGACATCATTCTTGGATTGTTATAGCATGTACAAACTCTTCCAAACAGAAACATAACCAAGCTTTGTCATTTAATAAAGGACATTTTAATAAAAGTGGAGCATGAGTTGAAAAACTAGACCTTTGTGCCTCCTTTGGAGCAGAAGTACTTCAGATCAAGTTCTGCAGGCTGCCTCCTAAATCATACCCTATCTCACTGCAGCAGTGCTAAAAGAAAGTTTGGGAAGCAGTCAGCATCACTTATTTTATCCTATTCCATGTTTTATTCCATATACAGTTCACAGACAACCAAGAAGGGCTGTCTAATCTGCTGCCTTGCTTCACTGCTATTCTTCCTGTTGAAGACTCAGTTAAAGTTGCCTTCTCTCCCTTTATTTATAAATTTAAATGAAAATATGTGGGGGTGAAAATCAGTCATTTCTTTATGAGATCCCTGAAGTAATTAACATCAACTTCTTGCCTTGACTATATACTTAAGACCAGCAGAGAGGTTACAGCGTGTAGCTGTGGAAAGACAATGTCAGACTGGCTGACTCTCAGTCACCAGACGCGATACTTCTCATGATCAGACATGCTGGTTTAAGATCCATGGAGTAATTTCTGTTCTTGTTCTCAAAGGGGAGATGCTTGAGGCTCTCTGATCTTCTCACATCTGTGACTAGCTGTCAGTCACTGAAGAATTTCACGAGAGAACCCGAAGGCTGTACAGAACACAGCGTTACAGAATACAGCTCTGGAGTTCATACCCACAGTGTACGTATTCCCTCTGTCTATGGATGTTACTGCTACCAAGCACACTTCCTTCTTTCATAAGACCAGGCATTGTAATTAAGGTGTAAGGAAGGAGGAATTTGACCTCATGGAAGAAAGCACACAAATATTCTAGCTTTAACCTTGATTACTGTAATAAGAAAGAGATAAAGTTACCGTAAAATCTTGAATTATTTAATTTCAGTATGAAATATTGAAATTTGAATAATTTATTGCATTGAATAATTTTGATTATGTTTAGAATAACAAGCATGAGAAATTGCGTATCTCAGCTTTAGTTGTGTAAATACTCTGAGGTGCTATGTCTAAGGTCTCAGTTTCCTTTCTTATTGCTTTAACAGATTTACCAGAACATGAACTCAGACAAGCATCATAAGAGAAAATCAGCAGAAAATATGTGTCACCCTCACAGACATTTTTCTTATATACCCTGGAGATAGAATTGTCAACATATCAAAAGCTCCAAAATTTAAAATATTATTAATCCTTTTTTGGACTTTAGATCAGCTCATGAAGTTTGCAGTCGGGAAGCAGAAGACACCAAAGGCATAGGGAATTTCTAGAAATGGAATAGCATAACTACTCAACACTGAAAAGGGGCTTCCCTCACCTCTACATTCTCTCCCTTTTCCCTTTTATTGCAAATACTTGAGTTACTCTGCTTTTGTTAGAAAATGGAAAACATAACACGTTTTACTATTAAGGCCTATGATCTTGATACATAACCTCCATACATAAGTGAAGGATGCACCTACAGTTCATTGATACACATCAAGTCACCATAAAGCTACAAACCACTGTGCCTGTGCAAATGACATCTCCCACTGCTTGACAGCACCTGCAAAATAGGAGGGAGAGATGAATGCGACTAGAAAACACTGTAAAATAGGTTTTGTACATGTCATGGTGGGTGTTTAGTAGGTTAACCTTTTGCTTTTTTAGCTGCAGTGCATGTACTGAAATTTGGGCACTCTAATCATGGGGATACAGAAGATATTAAAGAATTCCATTCTTAAGGCTTTACATGTGGCTTATGCCAAAGTTCTAAGCAAATAAAGATAGCTCATCTATTAAGGATTAAGTATTAAAATAATTTCTTAGGCATAAAGGAAGGGTTTGCTGTGTTTAGTCCCAACTCCTCTTATTTCCAGTTTACTTCCCACTTTAATACAGCAAGCAGCAACAGCAGGCTTGTGGGAGTGACACAGCCTCTGACAGCTATGGGAGGACATTTCTTGCATATGTTTCTTGGGCAGCTGAACAACTAGCAGACTTCAGCCTAAAAGACCCTATATTTATATGCATTTGAGAGGTTGCAAGATGCATACTAATCCTGAAAAATCCTATTGTTTTCTCTGAACTTTTATTAGTTTGTATTTGAAATAAAATAGGGCTGCCATCTTTAAATGTTTGAAATGTGTGGGTAGGAAGAGATCACTCATTATATGTAATTTGAACAACTGCCTACCAGTGAAAACACAGTCACTGCCTGTGACCTTAGGAGTTGTTTGAGACTTTGTATCAGCTAAAGGTGTGTACTGGCTGGAGTCTTTATTGCTTGGAATGCATTGTCACTGGACGTATTTGATCCTACGATATGGTACCCTATTATGGGTGGATAATTAAACCCAACTGCTCTATGCTCAGCCTATTAGATGCAATCTGTAAATAATCACTGGTTTGTTGAAAACCATTTAATATAAAACATGTTAATTTGCTTTATATCAACATTTTAAATTGGTTTGCCAATATGTACTTTATGTTATGGTTCATGATAGCTATTTGATCACTGAATCACAGACTGGTTTGGAGGGACCTTAAAGCTCATCCAGTTACAACCCCTGCCACGGGCAGGGACCCCTTCCACTAGAGCAGCTTGCTCCAAGCCCCTGTGTCCAACCTGGCCTTGAACACTGCCAGGGATGGGGCAGCCACAGCTTCTCTGGGCACCCTGTGCCAGCGCCTCAGCACCCTCACAGGGAAGAGCTTCTGCCTAAGAGCGCATCTCAATCTCCCTTCTGGCAGGTTAAAGCCATTGCCACTTTAATGACATATAAAAAGGTAAAACACTGAGAACAGAAATTCCTTCTCCAGATTCTGTGGTAGAATTATATGAAGCCCCATGAAACACCTCTGCAAACCATTGTGGATTGGTTCATGGAGCCTGCTCCAGTGCTTTTCATAGAACACAAATTAAAATGTTGTAAAACCATGTTATCTGGGAGAGCCCTAAAAGGGGCAGTGCTGAGCATAAGCACAGATTAGTTTTATTATTTTATTTTAGTACTACAGTGATTGAGCACATTTCTTTTCTTTTTTACAGTTGTGGAAATAAAAATCACAAAGCAATCCAGCACTCATTTTCATCCAGAAGAGTAAACCAAGACTGAATTTCCAAGGCCTGGACGTCTTCTCTGATTTTCATTCTGTGTTCCTGTGCAAAAGATGTCAAAAAACACTGCAGACAACTCAACTATCAGTCAACCAGCTGTTCTAGGTGTGTTCCTGGGAAGCATTTCACTCATCACTGTTGTTATGAATATATTAGTACTATGTGCTGTGAAAACTGAAAAGAAGCTGCAAACCGTTGGCAATTTATACATTGTCAGCCTCTCTATTGCAGATCTGATTGTTGGTTCAGCTGTTATGCCCCTGAACATTGTTTATCTCCTCAATTCTCAGTGGATTCTAGGCTTACCAGCCTGTTTGTTCTGGCTGTCAATGGATTATGTGGCCAGTACTGCATCCATTTTCAATCTCTTCATATTGTGCATTGATCGTTATTGTTCAGTTCAGCAACCATTGAAATATCTCAGGTATAGAACAAAAAGGAGAGCCTCGGTAATGATTTTGGGGGTTTGGTTGCTCTCTTTCATGTGGGTCATTCCAATCCTAGGATGGCATGTTTTTGCTAATGATGGGAAAAGGAAAGTAACCAAAACCAAGTGTGAAACTGAATTCTCTGAAGTCACCTGGTTTAAAGTGTTGACAGCCATTGTGAACTTCTACATACCCTCTATCATGATGTTGTGGTTCTACTATAAAATATTCAGAGCTGTTAGAAAACACTGTCAACACCGAGAGCTCATCAATGGATCACATCAGTCTGTTTCAGAAAAAAACTCCAAACATCAACGTAAGATGAAGGACAAGCAAAACATCTGCCTCCAAAATCAAGTCTTAGATGAGAACAGCCCTCCTAAACACAAACAAAGTTCCCCTCAGCCTGAAAATATGGAGGCAGAGCTTCAGTTCAGTAATCCTGACAAGTCTTCAAAGGCATTCGTTGGCAAGAGTAATAGGAAAGTCCTTAAATGGGGCTGTTTCCCTCTTACCACTGCCCAGTCTGAGCCAGGCCAGGACAAAGCAGGAAAGAAGCATGTGTGTGTAACAGAAGAGAACGAAACTGAAGACAGTGACTTAAGTGATGCATCGGACAGCCAGACTTTCAGTGACGAGGTACCTAATGGAGAAGGCTCCAATCCTAACCCTGAAAGAGCTGGCAGTCCTCAGGAAAAGCCGGAGAACAGGGATTTCAAAGGACTGTCTTACCTGAGGAAAACCTGGCAAAGTCTGTATGCCCATTCCAAAACACACACTCAAGGACTGCATGTGAACAGGGAGAGGAAAGCAGCTAAGCAGTTAGGGGTCATAATGGCAGCCTTTATGCTGTGCTGGATTCCCTATTTTGTATTGTTTATGGTAATAGCTTTCCATGGGCATGAAAGATTTTCACAGTTCCACATGTTCACTATATGGCTTGGCTATGTGAACTCCACCTTGAATCCATTCTTGTATCCTCTTTGTAACCAGAATTTCAAGAAGACATTCAAAAAGATCTTTCACATTCACTGATATTGGTCTGATTTTTGTCAGCTTAAAAGCAGCTCAAGATTTCAACCAACCAAAATGTTCCAGTTTCAAAGACAAACACAATGGGGAACGTACACGACTTTGGAAAACCGTAATTGATAAACAAGTGTTAGTAAAAGTGCGAAGCGTGCATTTAACAGCTTTACACATTTGAAGAGGAACTAATTCACATCAGGAATATGAAAAACTCAGGGGCAATCTCAGAACTGATACACTGCTTACAACTTGATATTACCTCTTCCGTCATGTAGAACAAAAACGAGATACAAATAGAGATCTTCAGTGACTATAAATTATTCAGCTACAGCAAAAGAAGAGATAATGTTTCTGCAATTGGCCAAATATCGTTTCTCTTTAAACTTACTTAAACACGGGAACATCGCTTGTGAAGTGAAATCTGCATGTAGAGGTACTTTGCATAGTCACAGAAAGAAGCTTCAGCTGTTTAAAAAATCTATTTATTTACAGCTTCGATCAAATCATAAACTTTTTTGAAATGTCGTCATCCTGTAACCTACAGCACCTCTGATACTGTGCTTGCTTCATTTAGACCTGTACATGTTAACTTCACTGAAAACAAAAACAAACGGGGTTTATGTCCTAGAAATTTCGCTAAGGCTTTCCAACTCAACCCCGTCTCACTGTTTATTCAGGAAGGGTATGCTGCTGTTTCTAGACTCACAGAATATAGCTGATTATAGACAACATGTATTTTCTTCTTCCTACAAGCTGGCAATTAACCTAAGTGTGCAATGGCACTACTAATCCATATACCCTTATCTTGTAGTAGGATATCTCTTCTTATTATAATGAGGCAAACTCATGAGCAACAACTCAAGCTTGCAAAACCGAAAATAAAACACACGAACTGTGTTTACCTTTTCTATCCTTTATATTTAATTGCATTTTATGAATCATGCTATAAATGCTGCAACATTTCAGGAGAAACTCACAAAACCAGAATACGTTGGAAGTGATCTCAGGAAGACATGTAAGTACAACCTACAGCTCAAAGCTGGGTGGGCTTTGACATTATGTCGTGTTGCTCAGGTCCACAACTTGAACAACAAGCATCTGTAAAACCAGCTTCATCTGGAAAAGCTGAGCTCAATGTAGAAACAATGTCCTCACGCTCATTTTGTTGTTCTGATGAATTCACCACTATTTTGCTTCTGAAATTGCTCAGTTAGCTTAACAACAAAGTCCTGATGTAACTGGGACTCCTTCAACTGAGTACTGTCAAGATTTCGGTGGGGTGGGTTGAAGGGATGTTCTATGTAGTATCTTCATTCTCACAAATTTTGGCTATAACACACTAAGTAAATGCAAAGTATTATCCTCTATCAATTTTGTCTGAAATTAAACACCCGAATGTTGATAGTTGTATTTAAAGTATTAAATGTTAAATGGAGCCCTAATATGTTTGCATTTCCATAATTGGAAACGTGCTAAAGGAAGAAACTGCAGTCCTTTTTAACGTATCATACAAGGTTCCGAGATTAGCTGACTTTGGTTTCAAGTACCATGTAGGAAAAACTGCAATTAGGGAACTCAAATCTAGGAGGTAAAAATACATAGACAGAATATAGAGGCAGCAAAATTCATTCCAGAATTCAGACAACTTTGCTACTACAAAAGCTGCATCTGCTCAAATAGTAAAATACCCCTTCTTTTGGACTACAAAGCAGCATCTTTTGAAACGTATGCTCTAATCCAATGGCCTTTCACAAGCAATTGCTCAGATTCACAGCCATTACCATCTTTTTTTTTCTACTGTGATAGCAACAGCAACTCCAGCCACAATGCATGGTAATTTAGGTGATCCCAGAGGAAATAAGTCAGCTCCAGTTATTAGTGTAGACTGACAAAACAATCTCACCCATGGGCTACCAAGGTTATCAAGAAGTCTTATCTTTTCTGACTTTAACATGTATTAATACATGAAACAGCAACTTAAACAACATCAGTGAAAACTGGTCTAAAAATTATGATGATTATAACAAAGACTACCTCTGGTACAGCTGAAACACAGAACAGCTAAATATGGGCAAATAAAGCTGCCTGATTATTTTGTAATTTCCCTTCACTTTTATCCATAATCATAATCTGTGTTAATACTAAAGACAGAGTAAGTTGTGATCATGGACTTCTCTGATGTGATATTTATAATAATAAAATAGGAAAATGGGATACTGCCTATTTTAAATTTTCAATTGAACAACATTAAGGTACATAACAGGGTTTATCAGTTTATTTTACTGAATAGGCAATTCAAATGGCTCTGGATGTAAGAGAAGCAGAGGAAAGCAAATTAGGGTAAAGTATGGAGAACACTACTACCATGTGAGGCCAAGCCTCCTGACAATACTCCAGGCGTGGTTTCCTGTAAAATATTTCCAGTGTTTGCCAGTGAACAAACAAGGTCACAGGACACACACATTTAAGAGAACATAATAAATTCCTTGAAATTTCTTGGACTGGAGTTCCACTTTGAATAAGGTGTGGTGAGAACAACCAACTGTTCTGGAGTTCAAGGATTCCGGGTTGAGAGAAACGCAACACAATAAAGAATAACTAGTTTATTAATACAGGGAAAATATAGAGGTAACAAAAGATACAGCAAAGGATATCGCTGATGTTTGGCTATCTTACCAACCCCAAGGACCTTGTAATGATGATCAGGAAACCAGCTCCGAGAAACATCATCACAGTGCAAGGTGGCAGGCTCAACCTCAGTGGGCATTCCCATGGAGGCAATGTTGACCTAAGTGGCATGAGGTTTACCTCTCCACAACTCATGAGGCTCAGGCTTTTATGCTAACAAAAATGCACATTCATTCTGACACAGGGGGCCAGCCTACATCGGAAGAAGTGGCTAGCAATATCTAGAAAGGTCTCCAAGGGTTGGGACTTTTCCGTGAAGTTCTAAAGCAGAACTTTCCGGGGAGGAACCAAAGCTGGATTTTCCGGGGAGCAGCCAAAGCAGGACTCTCCAAAGGAGGAGCCAAAGCAGACAAACAGTACTTTTCTGTCGTTGTGTGTTTCACCACGGACCATTATCTAGTGTCCCTGACACACCAACCTAGCATTTGAGAGGCAGAACACATTCTCACTTAATTTTTTGTGTCAGTGGTGACATCTAGTGGGTAATGACAAGAATTCTGAGCTTCTGCATCAAATACCATGTATTACGGAGGTCTATTAAATGAGCAGTGCAATTAGCAAATACATTCCACTATCTAATCCATGTTTCTTTTCCCACATCATTTTCAGGAAATGCAGCACTCGATAAAGGAAACATTAGTGTAGGTGCACATTTTGGCTTCATTTCATCATCTAAACTCCATTACATTCTCTGTGAGACCACTCTGTGATGCACTTTGTGATAGCACAATAAATGAAAATGGCTGAAAGATTCACTTTAAAAATGTATTTCTAATCTTAAAATATTAATATAGAAGCACCACAAACACGAGTGAAAAGTTCTAGAGAAGGTCCTACATTCTGCAGATTGCTGTTATCTTCCCACTGCTTATCAGGCATGCTGGAGTATGAGCCTTCTAACTTAGCTGGGGTGGCTTAAGTTCCCAAAAATAAGGAGTAAGAATATACCTGAAAGTTTCAGTACATGCGTTCCACCAGAATGAGAATTACTTCATTTGGAAATGCCACGTTAATACTACGCATACATATTCATTTCTTATTTATTCATGAAGTAAAATGACAAAATGATTTATTTTCATCAAATTATTTGTATATTGAAGATTAGAAGATAAAAAGAACTATTAATGTTAACACTTTGTGAGAAATAGCTCATAAGAACAGTTTACATGCCTGATACCAAGTTCCCAATTAGCTTTAAAAATCATACGTACCTGACACCGAAATAAGGCGTCTCTACATGGTCATTTTACAATCTGAAATAGGAAAAAAAAGAGTCAAATGTGAGATGTACACCCTACACATGCGCAGACACACGAGCACACACACCAGGCTGCTACAAAACTGTGATCTGAGATCTCCAGCAGTTAAAAAGTGTAAGGAGTTCCCACTGAAACACATGTATGGTTGTGTATGCTCATGGCTTAAAACCACATTGATACATGGTTAAGTCTAACCATGTTTCCATTTTTAACAATATCTATATCCATTATGATTTTATGCTGTCTACCTAAATATCTTGGCTTTAAACTTGGGTATGTTTCAACTAAACTATTCCTTACAAGAAACACACAGTACCCACTGCTGCACATGTCATTAAAATGAATGCCTCCTGTGTAATTAAATTGAATGCCTTGAGTAAAGTCAAATGCCTTTTGTTGTGATCTGGCATAACTCATTTTTCCAAACCAACACAGACCTAGGACCTGACCTCAGGTCTCCTGCCTGGCAACCTAATTTCCTCCTCACCACACATGCATTTTACTTCAACTCTGTTCTTCGAAGGGTAATAACTGTTTCTCTGTATCATATCAAAGTGCTCAAAGGAGAGGCACTGTGCCAGAGAAATCAGTGATAACAGAACAGTTCTGCCAGGTTCTGCTTGTATCCTGTAGTCTTGTTCTCTGAGAACGGTGTGTAAAATTCACTTAAATCCTCAAAAGGAAAGCAATCTATAACCTAAATATTATTTTTATCAAACTTTTAATAGAAGCTAAATGAAATAGTTGAGAATTTATCTTCTCCAAAACATGTTCAGTCCATATTCCCTAAGAATGATTGAGTTTGAATCTGCTTCTATTTTATTCTAATCTTCAATTCCAGGATTATTATCCCTCTCTGTAAAATGTTGCTGTGGAATTATGTGCCAAAAACGCCCAACAGTATGTTTCTTGTTTTTAGAGAGCCTGCCTTCTAGTTGATTGCTATTCTCATGTTTATTACAGACACTTTTATTTGATTAAAGGAAGACGTCACAAGGTAAACCATACCTACAACAATCAAACAGTTCCAGCATAAATCTCAGTGCCCACTGGGCTTTGGTGGGCTTTGCTGGTGCCCATCAGGGCCCCTCCTTAGCTTTGTTACAGCCACTTTCCAGAGGATCTCAGGCACAGAGAGATCTTTGACTGGAACCGCCTCTTTCTCTGGTATCTTAAGACTTCACTGCAGTGTGCTCATATGTATACATCAGCAGTTTCATGTGTTAATCTCAAGGTCATTTCCCAGGTCAGCTAGTCTGTGTAAAAATGATAGTCCAGGACTGCAAGCCTATCAGATGTACCTCCCATACTCCCAAAGCTACAACTGTTGTGCAGAAATCTAGGTCTGATTTCAGGTATGACGTGTCTAGTTGAGATACTACACAGATGTGGGATCATAGAAGAGGGTCCCTCTGCCCTGTATTGGTATTTTTTCTCATAACCAATGATATGACTATGAATCTAAGCTAGGGTATAGTCCAGTGGAGACTGGGGTAACAACATTACAGCTATTTCGATGGGATTCCATCAGTGTTCCCTTTATATTTAATGTAAAAAGATACTAAAAGACTCTAAAAAGTGACATCATAAAATATTACCCAGCCTTGGGGAAATAAACTGCAGAACTGAGTTATGAAGTGTCTGAGAGCAAAGGTACTACCCATACTCATTAAGTGGCATGCAGCATGAGGAACTGCAGAATTTGAGTACACAATTCAGTTAGATTCAAGGCATAGCATCTGTAGAAAACTTCCCAAGTTTATTCCAGTTTATTTGTGAAATTCCTGGAAAGTCTATTTGGCTCATTCTCCACAGGAAGTCCTCTACCCAAACATCAGGTATAAATCCGTGTATTTAGTAGCATTGAGTATTTCCTCCAGTGCTGCCAGAACAGTTATATTTATATGACCTTACCCGTGCTCATCTGGCTGCTCATGGTGGCTCTTCCTCTGAGGCTTACTCCCAATTTTGCTGGCCCTCTCTGAAATCTGGGTGTTACTGCAGCCTTCTGTACTCCAAAACAAAGGCTGCTCTGGCAAATTTTTTTCCCCTGATTGGTAACTGGCATGAACCGCCTGAAGAGGCAATGCTTATTCTGTAGAAAATACACTTTGTATTCCGGATCTGTGAAAATGGATATGGACTCATCAAGACTTTCGGTTGGAAGGGGCCTCTGGATGCCATCTAGTCCAACCTCCAGCTCAGAGCACAGATAGCCTCAAAGCTGGATCATGTTGTTCAGAGGCTTGTGCGGTCAAGTCCCCAAGGATGGGTATTATGAAGTCTCTCTGGAAACTGATCCCTGTGCTTAAGCAGGCACATTAGGCAGATTGTTCTCCACATGCTCATTTGGAACTTTTCTAGTTTTGATATCCACCCTTTTCCTTCCTGTTTTTTGCTGTGCATCTCTGAGAACAATCTGCCTCTGTCTTCTCCACTTCAAGTTACTCAAGACTTCCATGAAACCCCCTTCACCCTTGATTTCTCCACACGACCCCAGCCTGGCTCTCCCAGCCCCTCATGCCGTACACTACAACCCCCAGACCGCCTTAGTGACCCTTGACTGGCCTCCACGAGTCTGTGCTCCTCTCTTTTACCAAGGAGGCTGAGGGAAGACACGGAACCGGGCACCT